GACCATGTACCTCCTGCATCAGGTGGAGGTCCTGTACACAGGATAGGAACCTGCGTGAACGGTGGGACTTTGCTGTCTGCGTCTCCCAGCAGATGTCTGGGTAGTTTAGGTCCCCCATGACTACCGCCTCCTTAGTTTTTATCGTCTCCGAGAGCTGCCTCAGGAGCCCCAAATTCATAGAGCTTTGAATCCAGAAGGGTCCTCTATGTTTACCAATCTGACTTTCTGCATGACAGTTTGTGATTGAGCTGAAGCATGTCCTTTTAAATGACATCCAATTACAATTTAAACACAAAATTGACAGAAATTTGTAGTATCCCTTGTCAGATTCAATTTTGCTACTAAGTACCAGTTCTATGTACTTTTCATATTTGGCCTCCACATGGGTAGGTGAAAGTGGGTAGGAATCAGTGTTTGCTATATAATGCAGTAGAGTTCATTGGCTGCTTTGTATCTTTTCTTGTGATTCTTTTTTGAGCAGGATGGAACGTATGCAATTAGCTTCTGTTTATTTCTGGTGTTTTGCCATCTGTTCCATGAGAATCTTTTTTGCCAATTGTATAGTTAAAAAAATGTGTCAAACAAATAAGCTAATTTCAGAAGAAATGAAAAAAAATGATGGGCTAATTTTTTTTTCAGAAGGAATCTTGTAAAATGTTTCCTTTAGAGTGAAAAAGATAAGTTGAGTTTAGATGGCTAATTATTTCCATAGGGGTTTTTCACCCCTTTGGGTTACTTTAATTTTATTGTTGTTTGGAAAGAATTGTTTTATTTTTTAATTATCTATCGAAGGCTAGATTCTGTTTTAATTATACTAATTAAAGGAATAATGATCCTGCATTATTGGAGTTGCAAGGAGTCTGACAGCTCGTGTTAATGGATGTAGAACAGGGGTGGGCAATTATTTTGAGTGGAGGGCTTCTTATTCAGTTTTGGCAAGCTGTCAAGGGTGGTATGGGTAGCCCTGCCCTTTGACAGTTGCCCTGCCCCCTGGTCACCAGTGTGGGACTGGAAGTCCTGTCCTAACCTCTGACCTTTGCCACTGGAAGTCCCTCCCCTTGCCACTGGAAGTACTGCTTTTGTGAAGAGGGATTGCCGTGTTAGAATGGAAAAATAAAAAAATTATATACTAAAAATCAAATACCCATAAGAATATATTTTAATTTAATTAAAAAAAATTGTCCTGATTTGCATGCGTTTGTGCTGTATATGTAGAAGTGATTGCAAAATAGCTCAAAATGCAATCTTACTCTTGTATATTCTGTGGGGTGTGCAGGGGTGTCGGGGGGTATGGGTGGGTTGGTGTGGGGAGCTGTCGGTGGGTGGGTTGGTGTGGGGAGCTGTTGGTGGGTGTGTGGATGTGGGTGGGTGGATGTAATTGTCCTGATTTGCATGCGTTTGTGCTGTATATGTAGAAGTGATTGCAAAATAGCTCAAAATGCAATCTTACTCTTGTATATTCTGTGGGGTGTGCAGGGGTGTCGGGGGGTATGGGTGGGTTGGTGTGGGGAGCTGTCGGTGGGTGGGTTGGTGTGGGGAGCTGTTGGTGGGTGTGTGGATGTGGGTGGGTGGATGTATGTGTGAGTATGGTATTTGTGGGGTGTGTGATTGTGTGTGGGGGAGGGTGTGGTTGGGGAGGTTGTGGAAAGGTTTGAGGGTATGTGG